CCTCTTAACAAATATAATGACCTTGCATTAAGGCAGCTCAGAAGTACAATTCACATTTAAAGTAGAACATAAATCTCTTAAAAACCATATTACTATAGCTTCTGAACAGTTCATACTTGAATAAAAACATACTTCATCAATAAAAAGAAAAATCCAAGTTTAATAGCCCACTAACAATACTTTTTAAAAAACAAAAATAACTGGTTTACATGCTACAAATATTTCTTCATTGATATTACACATAACTTTGACAGCTATACGACTAAACTGATCTGGAATTTTTCATGGCATCATTTTTATAATTATATTTTCTCACCTATACTGTCCAAATGTGGTACTGATTTTTTTCACTGTCTTAGTTCTGTGTACTGTCTTTTAAATGAATCCCTATAACCGAGAATTGTGGCTGAGCAACTGTCAATGAATCACTCTTCTGTCATCCATCACAGGAGCAAAATGGGAACGTCCTCTGAGGATTTTCTCAGCAATGGAAGTTACACTGGGACTTTCTGTGCAGATAAGAAAGTCTTGAGAAAAAAAAAGAAACCTCAGTGAACTTTACAAACTTACAGTCAAATATCATGCATCGTTGTATTTTCTGAAGTAAAAGAACGGACAATCCAGTGTTCAACGTTACTGACAAAAAGTGCAAATGCCTCCAAAGACAACAGCCCACGGACAAGTTCTCAGGCCTTCCAAAGGGACAAGAGTGCCCAGGGAACACTCAGTAAGATTAACCCGCATGATAATCTTCATAACAAAGCCAGTACAAAAAGTAAAAGACACAGTTTACAGTTGGTTATGGACAGGTGTCGTGGCTCCTGCCTGTAATCCCAGCATTTTGGAAAGCCAAGGCGGCTGGATCATCTGAGCTCAGAAGTTCCAGAACAGCCTGGGCAACTTGGGGAAACCCCATCTCTACCAAAAAATACAAAAAAATTAGCTGGGCATGGTGGCACACACCTGTGGTCCCAGCCTCTCCGGACGCTGAGCTGGAAGGATCACTTAAGCCTGGAAGGCAGAGACTGCTATGAGCCGAGACTGCAATCTGGGTAACAGAGAGTGAGACCCCTTCTCAAAAAAATTTAAAATTTTTTTTAAATTTGAGACAGAGTCTCAATTTTTTTGAGACAGATATTGCAAACTAAAAGAGATCTCGGCTCACTGCAACTTCCGCCTCCTGAGTTCAAACGATTCTCCTGCCTCAGCCTCCTGAGTAGCTGGGATTACAGGCAGGTGCCATCATGCCCAGCTAATTTTTGTATTTTTAGTAGGGGCAGGGTTTCACCATGTTGGCCAGTCTGGTCTCAAATTCC